TTAAAAAAAAAAATAAGCCACCTTCAGACTAGTGTTGGGTAGGACATGAAATTAAAATGAGTTTGAGGGAGTACGTCATTTCAAAAAATGAGGCGGTACAATGTCCTACTTCAAATGAGGTGAGGTAGTGGTAAGAATGTTTGCACCTACGGCAATGGCTCAACAGACAGGAAATATTAAGCACGTTTTCATAACTTGACGAAATCAAACAATTGGACAAGTTAAGTGTTATTATATAGTACAAATAAATGATCATTTTATTTAGTCCTATTATAGCATGATCATATGATGTACAATCAGCTAAAAAGCGGGCAATGCAGGACCAATAATTGTTGCATTTGTTGAATTCGAAGCAGTGTGACATGTGTGAGGCTGTGACATGAGGTGAGGTGTGAGGTGGGACATTTTAATGACATGAGGTGTTGTGACAAACTAACGAAGCGAGTGGTACAAATGAGTAGCCTCGTGTATGAGTAACTCAACACTACTTCAGACGTTTATGGAATTTCATCTATTTGCCAAGTTTTATTGAAAGCGGTTAACGGAAAGTGGTTGAAATACAATAAACCTGATTTATCCTCTAATTTGCTAAACTTACAGGTGGAATATTTTCTTTTAATATAAATGGGACCCATACTGAGGTATTCGCTATTCAACAAAAAGAACATCAAAACTCGTTCACAAATGAGTAATCGTATAATCTCCTTTTTTTGAAATCAATTAAAAATTGATTGATGAGAATTGGCTTGACCAATTCCAAAATTAATGACACGGGTTTCAGACAAGAAAAAGAATTTTTTTTTTCCAAATTCGATCTACTTAGGGTCTTATTAGTAATAGTAGAGCTCTTTGTAAAAGAGTTCTTCCATCGCCTTTATGCCTCCCGAGACACCTGTCTGCCTATCAATGGTCCTGGGCGCTCGTACCACCTGATTAACGCCTTCAGTGTTAAACATTATAAAAAAGCTCTGACCTAGACAATCTATGCAAATAAGTTGCATTACAGAAGTCGAGCACTAATTATAGGCAAATAACGTACATGGTGCGTGCATTGAGACTTTTTTACAATGATACCATTGACTTACAATTATATGGACGTCGGGTCCGCGCTAAAAAGTGTCCTAACTTATAGGGCGGTAAAATCGTATACAGAGCGTCATTCACGCTTTAGTCTTCGTTTGTTCGACTGACAGCGAAGCAAGCAAAATTAGACAGCACTGCGATGACATTACAATTTAAATTCAACGTTTTAGCTTTTTCATATTCCTTTACATGTCACTACGTTTAAATAAATTGACTTGGGACATTTTTTTCGTGGTTTTTGTATTAGACCCGTCGTCCATTAATTTGTAAGTCAATGAATGATACAGTAAATCATTCAGGCGAGAAATGACCAAACGTCACTTTGACACATCACGTGATAGGCGATAAATACACTGGTTTGTTCATTTAATTGTTAGTATTGCTTATTTAATTTTTTTTTTAATTTAGTGACTATGTTCTTTGTTTTCTCCTATAATCTCTTTTTGACTTGTTAGGCACTTTATGTTTATATTGTTTCATGTTGGTGGAAATTCGTAAATGGCATGGGATTACTTATATTTAAGTATACCATAATTGTATTATTTGTCCGTGAATTTTCCTAAAATGTATAAATAAATAAATAAAAAAAATAAAGCAGTACAGCTCTTTGTGAAAGAGTTCGTCTAGTGAAGTACTGCCATCCACACCTATTTCTATCGCCAAGCAGTAATGTCATTGCAACGTTCCTGTTTTGGAGGATAAAGTTGCTGATGTAACTACAAGAAAATGAGACACATGTCAATTTTTTATGTGTCGCTTACCAGCAGGTACACAACTTGTTTGTCTTGTCGCTTATTATCATAATGTTTAATAGTAACCTGGGCTAGCGAGGTCGCCAATTGGGCAATCCATTCGATTTATTAAATTTACAATACACTCAAGATTAGATAAGAGAATAAATCTGAATCATTATAAGCAGTACATATTAATACTCTACTTATCCATCTTGTCCAAAATGTCACACAAGCTCATTAAATTTGATTATTACAAACAAGTTATTGATGATGGCAATAGCAAGTGGATAGCAAACAAGGCATGCAATAGAACCGGTCCAAACAATCGTATTTAAGCTACTAAATAATGTGCCGCCAAGTCCGTTATGCGGGTAGACAAAAGTGGAGATAAATGTTTTTTAGATATTGATTGCGACATTTAGTATAAATATTTATTTTATTGCATACTATAATGTTTTTACCATGATATTCATATATTTTTTGTGAAAATACTTCACTGCTTTGTTATTATTATTAATACAAAGATTGAACAAACACAAATAATAAATCTTTCAATCCGGCTGGACTCGGACTAGCGGCCTCGCCAAACTGAGGCTATTCCTCTCCCAGATGATATATAATGACAATATTTAGTTTGTACGTATATTCTACAGGTCTCCCCAAAAAAGGCAGAACGAAGCAAACTATCATGATTTTCTACTCAAATGCAAAACTGCATTTGAGTAGAAATCCTAGCGTCATTTATCCTTGACGGATAAAAGAAATAAATATATTTATAACCTACTCTATATACGATTAGACGGCATAGTACAAACAGTTTTGTGCCTTCAAAACCCCATTTCCCCAGCAATCACAAAAACTTCTCACTGAAGAACTTTCAGGTCTATATGTAAAAAAGCTTTTGATGACCAAAACTTGGGCAGTTACTTTCGTCATGTATAACATATCGCACTGCTATTATAATAGTGTTGTAACTCAAAATACGTGAAATTCAAGATTATACCATGTCTGCATTGACTTATGTCTGAATGTAAAATTTGTTTCTCTACACGTCAATAAAATTGTCTTTAGAATACTAATACGCGAATATACTTTTAATTGGCAAATAGGAGTTGTTTAGATGTGTAATAAATTTTAACCTATACATAAATTATAATAAATTTTCACGGGAACTGACTAATTAGTTTTTCGGCTGTTATGAATAAACTCACTTTTTGAGTTAATGCACTATCGTATTAGCAGTGCGATATATTATAATTTACTTTATTTAATACTTTGTAATCATTAGACGGCAAATGCCTAAATAAATTTGCATGATTAACATTTTGAAGAAGCAAGTGCGTCTTAGTTTAATGAAACAACCAGTAATACTTGCATCTCTTCAACTGCAAAGTTAAAATTGGTGGCAGGCCTAGCACAATTGCACAATATTTGCATTAATGTTACTGCATTCTTCGTCCTGAAGGCTGTTGAATTATGTTTTTAGATTGGTTCAGATCGCTACGAGATACATTAAGTTCGTTTCTGTGTTTGGATCGGAAAATCTGATAAGAATTTATGCAAGATTTGGAAAAGTTCAAGGAGTACCTCCACGCAGTAAAATATATAACTTATATAACGTACACACTCATTGCCCCACACTAGAGAAACTCTGTATTGCGGATGCCACGGAAACATACATACAACCACAAATTACTCCCAAACTCACGAAAGAAATAAATGTAGGCCATACAAATATTTTGTCCTGGCCAACTAGCATGGTAACCGTGCGGTCACGGAGGCAGTTATATGTAAGGAGGGTAGTGTAAAGGAATGATACAATAAATATCAAATAAATTTTGAAATCAATTAATAAGTTAGAAATATTTATAATACCTAATGATGGGCGGGCAACAGACAGCGCACAAGAGAAGCAGAACAGATAGCCCATGAGGTCAAACTGTATGAGTGGCAGCCGCGTACACAGCGTGGGCGGACCACTGACAAGGTGGACCGATGACCTGGTGAAGATTGCGGGAATCCGCTGGATGCAACCAGCGCAAGACTGGTCATTGTGGCGTTCTTTAGAGGAGACCTATATATAGCAGTGGGGCCTCTTTTGGCTGAAATTATAACAATAACTTATAAGTAACAAGTAAAGTATCTAATCTAGTTCTTAGGTAATTAGGTAATGAAACTATTTTTTCGGATCCACTCCGTGTATTTTTCTGATCTAACCATAGATATAGGATCTAACTGTAAGCCGTGTCTATGGGTTGTGAAAAGAGTCCGAAGCGTTGGTTAGTTCCAAAAAATCTTCGAAAGTGTTATTTAAACAAACATAATGGAGTTACGTAAATTGAAAAATATGAATTAAAATTAATTCAAAATTCCTAGATATTATTTGTTCAGTTTTTAAAACGAAATTAATACATACACATTACATTTTTAGGGACATTGACACAGTAAACGTCTCTGTGTAATAATAATAATGCACACACTCAACATAGCCTACTAGGGAAACTCTGTGTCGCGGGTTCCATGGACACATGGACAACCACAAATTACACCCAAACTCACGATAGAAATAAATGTAGGCCATACATATATTTGTTCCGACCCGGGTATTTAACCTGGGACCTCTGCGTGCCCGTCCGGTATGGCAACCGTACGGCCACGGAGGCCGTTTTATGACAAACAGTTGCATGGGTAGAAACAGAACAAAAAATAAACAATAATAATGTGCCGACAACAACATTAAATTGCCAGGTCTCAACAACAAGAATTCCCTATACTATGAGTATCAAAACAACGGGATTTTTTCCGGGGCTCTACTTGAAACACCCTGGACCGGTATCAACTTAGAAAAGTTCTATTCCCATATAGTGCTACTGGGAATCAAAACAAGACCTTACTCATACAGCGCCCATAGTGCAAACCGTTAAGCGAACGAGGTGGTCTAAATAAAACTAAATTCAAGAAACAAAATTTTAGATATCTATCAACTGAAAAAATCATGTTGAGCGACGAATAAAACATGATGGGTACCAAACTTTTAAGATTTGTAAACCAAAATACAATGTAAACAAAAGATCTTATCATTAGACTTGTAAAATGCAAAACCAATGCCAAAAGTAACGAAGGTCATTCCATATTTTGAAATCAAAATATATAAGGATCCAGATTGTATTGATAATAATAGTGATGGATGAACTTGAATGGCCGCTTACGTGGTTCTGTTTAGTGAGATGAATGTTCAAAGAATTATTTTTATGGACTTAGATATTAAAACTGAAGATAAGGCAATGCTGTTTGACATTGATGGTGTATCTACATAAACGGTGTTAAGTAAGACATCAGCACAGCGGACGTATATGGAAAAGGTGTGCTAAAAATGTGTAATTATATTTTGAGACACGAAAGAGTATATGGCACTACGTAAGTTTAGCTAGAAGTAATCATTTTATATGATCTGGAATTTCTTACTTGGAACCTGTAGCAACATTGACTGATAGAACTTATAGTAAATAGAATATACGAATAGAACTTAGACGCAATGAATGACCAATTTTGACTTGTATCCATGTTTGTAAGTAGATAAAAAATCAAAATCAAAATTTACTTAAACTGAAATATTTTTTGTGATAATACCGTCAACTAAATTTTACACGTACACGCCAGCCTGTTGAATATTTACCTTTTTCTTTCTTGATATAAAGTTTTTTTTCTGCAGGGTCAGTCAGCAACCTTGGAGAGCATACGAACGTCGCTCTCAGCAAAGTTCCCTTCGATGCAGACGCCTTCGCAGGACATGGTGTACGACACGCTAGCGCAGCTGATGCAGGAGAGGAAAATTTACCAGACTTCGCGGGGATTTTTCATTGTTACACCTGAGTAAGTATATCGTCCATTTAGCTATGGACTTTCATTAAGAACCTGCTTTTACGGTTTCACGATATCCATGACAAATTGTGGAGCGATCCGTGTAACCGGTTACAAAGGAAGTACTAAGTTTGTAAATGGCATCCCATAAAATTGATTGATTTTTGAGAAACACCCAGTGCTGTCGTTTATCGGTGTACAAATCTGAACAACGTGCCAGATACGTCGATCTTGAATTCTCACAAATTATTCTTGGCGGCGGTGTCGTAACTTGTTTCTCATCCATCACACGAGCCTTTGGTGCAGGCAGTGACAAGACGTCCATATTTATTGCGATTTAGTCGTCTGACACAGTTGTGACTCATGCGGTTTGGGAGATGTTTTGTGTGAACTTGATGTAGTGTTGGCAGTGTCAGAGATTATTCTGAACTTAATAAATGTTGGTGTTTGTCCACAATCTCACCTGATAAAAGCTGTGGTGGCATGTAACTATGAATTTAAGTTGTAAGTTACATACACTTCTAAATATTTAGTAGTAATACCTCTATTACTAAAACTAGAATTAAATAATATGAATAAAATTGGGTCCCCACGGCAAGGTGTCCAAGATGCAGCGTTCCCTATTTGTATGGCTATGCTAATACGTCGACCAAGGTAGCTACCAGCCCTTGGGTTTCCCAGACAGTATAATTAATAAGTAATATATAATAAGTAAATATAATAAGTTAATTTTTTGGATAAAATTTTGTAAAGGTGACGGGCACCGGGACCTTACAAGCCAAGAGTTTCGACTTCAAAGGCAGTAAGTACATAGTCGTACCGGAGATCCAGATACTTATTACTCTTTATTCTTACCGCCAGTTCAGCTGCGGTGCCAGTCCGCTTGCTGGTGTGCTGGAGATGAGATGGAGCTTAGCAATGAGTTCATTTTATCTTTATCGTTTTATGGGTACCCATCACTACTCTGATTGGCTGATACTTAATCAATGCTATGTTATAAGTACTAAGAGTAAAATGTAATTATGGGCTCAGTGGAACTATGAAAATCTAAATAAAATAAAGTTTCCAATTAATTGTGACACTAACTTGTGGTTAAAGTATTATGTGTATCTTGTACAATTTAGAACAGTTTTATTTCATTTTTTTGTCATTTTGCCTGTCTCACAAATATCTTACTCCATAATATTAACCTTAGAACTAAGTCCAAACTCCTGGTACCACGATTTCCTTTAACTAAGGTAAACGATTCTTTTATGAGAAACTGTATACGTTTTTACAATAAGATTCCGGAATATAAATTAAGATTACAGTTTCCTAAGTCTAAAAACTTACATTAAAAGTATTTTAATTGAAAAGTCATATTACAAAATTGTAGATTACGTGTTAGATAAAGATGTATGGAAAGACAACATGAGTCTAGATTCCACACAAATATGAGTAAAAATGTATTCCATAGCATTTAGTTTATTTCAAAAGAGCTATCCCTAGAGTTTCTTGCTCGTTCTTCTCAGGGAAGTCGGCACAGTGAACGAACAGTAGCTTATAAAATGACGTTTTCAAGTGTAAAAATTTTACCTATGGAATAAATCATTGTTTGACTTTGACTTTGACTTTAAAATATGCGTGTCCCATCACTACAGGACGTCGACCAATAATGGCACCTCTTACGAAAACTGAGCGCGAGCTGCGTATGACGCGCGCGCACCAATTTTGGCGCGAAACTTGACATTGCGCCGCCATTTCATGCAAAGTGCCTTTTGTCGCGGTCCGTCCGTAAAATTGCAATTTTATTGTAATTTAAAGACAGTTCACCGAATGTTTCACTGGAACGGCTGATGCAAATTGTTCTTATTGCAGTAAAATGCTTCTTTATTTCTTTTTAGATATGCTCACGTCGAACAAATTAATTGAACCAGACCGTATTTAAAGCACCTTGAGCTACAGGTTGTCTGGAAAGAATTTGTTCCTTAGAAATGAGGCTGAATGAGGAATGCCCATAGACTTGTAGAGTTATCTCTACAATTATAATTTATTTGTTGTCATTGTCATTTTTAATCGGTGAGATTCGCTCTGGACCTTTTGGAGGGAAAAGTGTCGTTTTTATTTTGACTTTCAATTATTTTGTGAAATCTAGTTTAAAGTGGAATAGGATAGTGCTATTGTGCCTTAATCGAAGATTAAAACGCAAAATTATACGAATCTCGAACTAAAATACCCATATCGGCCCGTTTTAACGAATCCCGAGTCAATCCAAGCACGCCGCCTCAATTTGCCTATCCTCTTTGTGGCGGCCATATTTACAGAAACATAATTAAACTTCATGTCCAAAAAAGAATAATGTACTAAGACTTGGCTGTATGATATAAAACCTTTGCCTTTTCCTTTATGGAAAGAAGAAAAAAAAATTTAACCGGTGACGTATATTTCATTCATTCATTCAAAAGCGTTCAGCAAACAAATATTGCCATAGCAAATTATGTACACACGCACATCAAGTTACGTTTTTCAATTGACGTATCTAGTTCCGTTGCACTGGAGGTGATTTTCGAACAAAAATGTGTAGTCTGATGTGCCGTTGTCCGCATTGACTTACAATTATATGGACGTCCGCGCTAAAAAGTGTCCGCACTTATAAGGCGCTAAAATCGTATACAGAGCGCTACAAACTCCGCTTTAGTCTTCATTTGTTCTACTGACAGCGCGATACTGCGATGACATTACAATTTAAATTTCGAATAGGTTGACTTGGGACATTTTTCTCGTGGTTTTTGTATTAGACCCGTCGTCCATTTATTTGTAAGTCAATGGTTGTCCGTATGTATCTCGTAGCTACAGAACATGACATGATACATTTTACAAAATTCCATATTGAATGGCATTGGGTTCTTTTTAATTTGTGTGCCAACTCACTAAAGGAATATAATTCCTATGAATGCAAAAATAGCATCACGATCCGTTAAAATATAAATAGAGTAGGGGAGAGAAAGAGAATAGGGTTTGATCTCAACACTTCAGCACAAAGCGTACAAGAGAATACAATAATAGACATTTATTGCAACAACAATTAGGTATAAAAAAAAGATTGACGACACTTAAACAAGCAAAACAAAATAAAAAGAATTAATAAACAAACTAAAAAATACAAAAAAAAACAAAAACAAACAACATAAAATTAAGAAAAAAGCAAAATATAACGACTACAAATTTGATATTGTAATTTGTGCGGTTGTGGCGCAAAAAGTCTTCATTCAGCTTATGCCACGGCCATAATTGACTGTGGCGCAGGTTTTCAATGAGCCCTGAGCATATGACTATTCACCATAAAACATTTAGTAGATTGGGCTTCAGTTCTTTGCATGTATAGTATAATTAAGTACTGTAATTACCAATAATATCCTATTTCTCAATACACAGTCTTTATTTAATAGTTATAGCATTATTATTTGTATCTAAAGTAATTTATTTTCTTTAGTTCAAATTTAAACAATCGATCTATGCCGACTTGCCTAACTAGTTGTAATAAATAGTGTAATACGGTGTAGGCGTTAATGTTAAGCTATTTGGGACTAACTGTAATATAGTGTAGTGTAGACTCAATTTTGATATGTTATTGAAAACCTGGATCTCCAATCACTTTAGGTGAAGGTCGCAAGGTAGAGTTAAAGATAATTGGCCCCAGGACGTTACCCTGTAGCGTTCTATTATAGAAGCTATGTAGATCCTCCACCAAGGTTTAGAATACGTTAATACTTATTATACAGCTTCTGTTTAGATGACAAAAATACATGGTAATGACCCTTTTGGCTTTTTTTACTATAATAAGTGACGGGATTAACAAGTCACTTGTCCACAGTACTTGCAGTGCCACTCAGATCTTTAATTTGCAAAGGTTTGAGGGGCACATAAATTGACAAGTCCCACGCGCCTGTAACTTCACCAGCACCTCTATCCTTTAAAACTGGAACGCAGTAATTAAATCATTGATTATATATGTGCAAAAATGGCATTAAAATTGGTAATTAAAATAAATTTTTTAATCCATCTATTTAGCAGCTTTCTTGCCTACCAAAATATTCAAAACCTAACGTACTTAAAAATTCCCGTATCTAAAAACACTACTATTTAAATAGCAAAGTAATTACTGGATACTTTCTGCCTATTAACAGTCAAAGGACAAAGAAGGAAAACGGTAAATCTTCTAAGGATTTTTACCAAAAAATTAATGAAATCGCGTAACAACATCTTATAGTTTTATAGTTATTTTTTATGAACATTATTGCGGGAAGTCGTTGACTTGAATCATTTTAATGGTTTATATTTATTTTTTTGTAGAATATTAATGATGTGCTAATAAATTAGATTATTTTTATGGCAATATAAGAAGTGGGTGAGTTATGATAGATGTTAAAATATAATTGGTTGCAATTTATGTTTAAATATTTAAAAAATGTACAGTCCATTACCGCTTGGCGGCAGTTAGGTAAGGTGGCAGTACTTCCCTGGACGAATTCTTTCACAAGGAGCTCTACTGATATAATAGTCTTGCAGATTGTCTCTGATATTTGAAATAAATATTGTAATTGTTTGGTTACAAATATCGACCCCGAGAGCTTTTTACTCGTTATTTTCAGGGGATTCTGCCTTACGAATGAGTAGCAGAGTATAATCAATGTGACAATTTCAAGTATAATTAGCTTTTTTTATAATATCAAGTGACGGGACGAACAAGTCGTGTGGCTGGTGGTAAGTTACACGCCTGTTCATATCAGTTGCAGTGCCACTCAGAGCTTTAAATCGCGAAGACCGAAGGGTTACTGACACTGCGCCTGTCACCCTAAGACATAAGTTGACAAGTCCCATTTGACTGTAATTCTTTGAGGATGGAAAAAAGTCTAAGGTGTAATTTCACCAATGATTTCGAAGACTTGGAATCTACCACTTTTAAACATGGTGCCCAAAGTGGGTTGGAGTCGTTATACGTTTTCAAAACTATTGATTTAAGTAGTTACATCGCCATCATCAACCCATTAATCGTACGTTCCTACCGCTGGCCTCGAGTCTCTAGAGAGAGAGTTTAAACCATGGTCTGCCATGCTGACCCAACGAGATTTGGGGCCTTCACACGTTTTGCAAAGATTGTGAACCATCTTCGCCATACAGCTTACATCACGATATTTTCTTTCACCATTAGCGAGAGGTATTGTTACTAAACATTCACAAATGTACGTAACTTAGAAATTAAAATCAATCAAATGCCACACACAAAGATTGGAATCGTGGACCTCTGACCTGAGAAGCTACCGCTCTCCTATCACTGATCATGTGTACGTGCCAAATTACAATAACAACAAATCATCATACAAGGATAATGATTTCGCACTTGTTCCTTTGTATCATTATTTTGGAACAGATACAGTATGTCTTCTTCTTCTATTCGTCTCTATCACCTCGTCTTTCATTTCTGTTATTAGTTTCGTAAGTAGTTTCTTAAAAAAATTTTAAATCGCTCTCCTGCAATACTTTCCAAATACACGTTAGATGTTTTACCTTTCCTGGGTCGCATTCGTTCTTTCTTTACTCTTTATCTATCTATCAAGTCATCATCAAACATCTTCACAGTACCTATTTCTACCACCAAGCAGTGTGATTATTAGTGCGTTCCAGTTTTTAAGGGTAAGACTATTAAAACTACAAGCACATGGTGCTTAATAACTGTATGTCTTAGGATGACCGGTGCAGTAACAGTGATATTTGTTATAGTTAAGAGCAGTATTGCAACAATAGTGTGTGAAATCAATCAATCATAAAAAAAATCATAAAAAGAATGTCACCTTTGTCCCTTTGTCACAAAAACCTTCATCGTCCTATTTGAGAGCCAGGCTGTTATGCGTATAGCCTCCTCCTCTCAAGTTTCATAGCCAGCTCCTTGACCTCTTTTTATCTGTTCACTATAAGTTTCTTCTTTATTTGGTCACTGTACGCCAGTATAAACTATCACTCCGTTATTTTCCCCACCTTTGTTTATATGTACTTGTAATGTTACAGAGGTGCAAAACATACACATTACGTATATTTAAAACTATAAATAATTATAAAATTCATTCATTCACATCTCGCGTCCGTTGAATCGCGATGGTGAGACAAGGTCGTACTCCGTAATGTAGGTAATTGTTTACGCAATTGTTTGTTTGTTTTGTAACCAGACACTTGTTTTGACTTTTTGCAATCATTCACAAAATTATTCTTCTTGGGTGATTCATTTTGTAA